TCTGATCTCAGAAGAAAAAAAGGAAAAGCTAGACATGGCGGAGCACTCTGGGAGGCTGAGGCAGGAGGATCACAAGTTTCAGCCAAGATTGGGCAACTTAACTTTATAGTGAGAACTTAAAATAAAATTTAAAAAATAAAAAGGTCTGGGGATGTAGATTGCTACAAAGTCTTGGGTTCAATCCCCAGCACCAATAAATGAATAAGCAGGCTGGGGACGTGGTAGTTCAGTGTGGTGGGGAACCCCTGTGGTAGGGTTCCATCCCTCGAACCACAAGAAAAGTGTGAATTTTATGGTATATGAATTATGTTTCAATAAAGTGGCTATTAAAAAGTTGGGGGAAAGGGGTGAATCATGACAGTACTGGACTGCAGAGCACAGCACTGGGCCAGACACACAGTAGGTGCTTGGTGAGGATTCTCTGTCCCTAGGAGACTGACAGTGTACACTGCTGGCGCTCACAAACGCCTCCCTCGGTCCCCAGAGTCAGGCCGGTGGGTTGTCAAGCAGCTGAGCTGCCCCGGGCTTGGTGGGGGCTCCTGGGCAGCTGCTCTTTGGCAGGGGTGGGAGCGTGCACGGCCCTCCTCCTGCCTCCCACGGGGTCCCTGGAGAGGCGGCTGCCCACCGTGGCAGGCGGGCTCCGGGGCTGCACACTCGCCCGCTTCACAGACACTGATATTCTCCATGTGCAGCAGACCGTGAATTCACCTTCATACTAGTTACAGGGTTATTTAGCTTCTCCTGACACTGACAATCACAAACTTTAATTCGCTGCTTGGCTTCTCCCTGCTGTGCCCTCTGCCCACCCCCAAAATCCTTGGGAGAGGATGGGAAGGACTGAGGTCCGGCCCTCTCTTGCCAAAGCTTGCCCTTCGCCGTGATGGAGTGAAGGGAGGGGGAGGGGTGGTCAGAAGGAGGCAGTGATGGGCGCAGGGTGGGGAGAGGACAGCGCGCGGAGAGGAAGTACCACGGGGTAATGGGGCTCCCGCCTGCTCCTCCAGCCTGACACTAATGTATGCAGCCTGACATCCCAGCCTGCTGTGAGTGACGACTCAGGGATCAGGCTGCTGGGCTAAGGGTCTGGCTGAGACCGACAGGGGCCGGGGCTCAGGGCTGAGGCTGAGCTCCCGGGACGGGGCAGCTGGCACGGGGCTGGCCCCTCTGCCTGCTGCTGGGCTAGCAGGTGCCCAGTCCTCTGAGGTGAGAGAGCTCCAGTCCAGCAGGCCGGCCAGCCTGCCCCGAGGAGGGTTGTCCCAGCCCCTGCCATCCCTCCTCTGACCAAGGCAGGTGCATCTGCTCAAAGCTACTACCAGACTTCAGACAGGAAATCGAGACCCTGCGACATCACCCACCAAACAAGCGAAGCGCACCAGCCTGAAATGGGCCTGAAACGAGGTGTCCAGGCGCCTGTGTCCTCACCACTGAGAGAAGCCACCGTGCCCTCATCACCGCGGCCAGCCCTGATGCATGCTGCCTCCTTCCTCCTGGGCTCCTGATGATCCCGTCTCCGTCTCCCCTGAGCTTCCACACACTCTCCACGAGTGGCCCCACTTCGGACAGTCCCACAGGTCCCACGGCTCAGACCTTCAGTGCTGGGAACCTGGCTCCTCACCCGCCCATCACCTCCTGCTCCGGTCACCACCATCTTTCTCCAAAGCCTCCTGGGCAAGTGATGGAGGAACACTTGCCCTGACAACCATCCAAGTGGAAGAGGGGACTCCCTCATTCACAAAATCCAAGCAGGCCCCGCCAGCAGCCACTCACAAGGCAGCGTCCCAGAAGCAGAAAGCCTAGCCAGGAGGGCTCACAAAGACCAGAGGCCTGGCAAGGCCCCGGGCCAGGGCGCTCAGAAAGGGGATCCAAGGCTGGAGGGAGGGCGGGGGAGAGGAGAGGAGAGGTGGGGAGATGCATCGGCGGGTCCAAGCCTGTGTCTACTTCCTCCTAGCCCATTCCACTGCCCCACCCCTGCCGGCCAGGGAAGCAGCCAGGGTGGCCTGGGCAAGAGAGATGTCAACGGGGCCGACGGGAGAAGGGGCTTGTTGACTGCAAACTGTCCATTATGGCTCAGATTATAAGCATACTGCACAGGGCTCTCTGCACGATGCCGGGGAAATCCAATACGCTGAAAGGTTAATGCAATCAATTAGGGTGACAAGGAAGTAAAGTAAAGCCTTCCGAGTAGATGAAAAGGAGAGAGAGGGAGAGAAAGAGAAAGAGAGAGAGAGAGACAGAGAGAGAGAGAGAGAGAGCGCCACGAGTTGCAGGGGTGGTGGGGGTGGCTTGGGTGGTGGAAGGCGAGGAGGAGAGAAGCTGGTGGGATGCCGTGCAAAGGCCTGGAGGGAGGCGAGCAGTGTGGAGGCCAGCGGAGGCCGGGAGAGACCGCGGCCCAACAGGAGAGGTGGCCAGGGCAGCTGGGCGGCACAGTTTCTATGCCAGAGCTCCAGCTGCACAAAGCTGCCTTTTCTCCTCGTCCTTCTCTGCCAGCTTTTGCTCTCAGGCTTGGAGCCAGCTGCCAGGTTAGCAGGGCCACGGGGCAGTGCCACAGCATCTTGGTCCCTGATCCAGACAGAGCCTGGGCCTGGCAAACAACCTCCGGGGCCTTCCCAGCCAGAACTGCAGTCCCCAAGTGGCCGGCTGCCTCTCAGCTGCCCACCGCAGCTGCAGCGCTTGCCCCAAGCATCCTGGTCCCTCCCTGCAAGGCAGAGTGCGGTGGTCAGCATCTCCCATCTTCTAGGGCTCAGGTCACTTCCCAGGTCAGCCCACGGACAGCCCAGGGCTCCCAGGCCACTATGCAGGATCCTCTGGACTCAGGGGTCTTGCCTTCCCTAGCGGCCCAGCCCAGAGGACGCCAGGGCAGGGGCCTGTCCAGCGTGACTGCTTTCTCCAATGTGACAGTGGAGACTCAGGCTCTGGGACCCTCCCTGTCCAGTCCCAGGCTGACTGCTTTCAGTCGCAGCTCACTCACTCGTCCCGACAAGATGTCTTCTCACCTTGCAAAAGAGGAAACTGCATCTGACGCTAAAGAGCTTCCTATGGAAGACAGGAGAGGAGCACAGGCCTCCCTGGATGCTAGGAGCGCCGGCTCTGAGGGCCTGGGGAGGAGAGAAGAGCTGGCATTTCCCGAGGGAAAGAACCAAGCAGAGATCAGGCCATAGGACAGGAGGGACAGGGTCTCACCAGCAGACCAGGAGATCAAGCAGCCTCTTAGAAGCCCAGCACAGGGTCCCAGACTAACACCCAGGACCAACAGAGCCACCTCCCGAGGACGAGGGCACAGGATGTGGCACGCGGCAGGGGGTGCACTTCAGCACAGGTACCACGGCAAATTTCAGAGTCTATCTATTTTACAAGAGCAGAGAGGAGAAGGGTGCAGAACCTCCAAGGCTGGGGCCTGCAAACATTCCCCATCAAAAGCCACTTAGTGAATATTTCACACTTTGTAGGCCAGGTCCTGCTGCAGCCATGCAACTCTGCCGTCAGAGTGAAGCGGCCACAGACAACAGGAAAACCAATGGGCACGGCTGTTCAAATAAAACTTTATTTATAAAAACAGGCTGTGGGCTAAGTGGGACCCAGGGGAGGTCCTGTGCCCTGATCCAGAAAATGAAAACACACGGGGCGCTGAGTTTGAGGGCTCGGATGACACCTGCTCCAGCCTGCCCTTGGGGATTGGAGGTGTCCAGCCTGGACCTTCCTGGGCTGAGGTCTAGAGCAGAAGCGAGGCTTCCGGGGAGACTGGAGGGCAGGAGAAAAGGATCGGGGAGAACAAGCCTTGCACGGGAAGCAGATTCCTAGCTCCTGGCATCCTGGGAAACCCTGCCGACGGCCTGAGACTCTGAGTGAGGGTCGGAAGGGCCGGAGGCCCCGAGAGAGGAGTGGAGCTGAGGCTGAGGGCAGGAAAGAGCGGCCAGAGGGAGCCAGAAGGGTCGCAGAAAGGGAGAAAGGCAGAGGGGACCCAGAGTGGTGCTGTAACCAGGGTGGTGCTGGCGGCAAAGCGAGGAATCCACGGGCCCCAGCAAGAGCGCAGGGCGCAGGCCGGGCCTGCCCTACACCGGGCCGCCTCTGATCACGTTTTCAGGGCCACTGCCCGCCAGCGCAGACAATGCTGGGGGAGCCTTTGAAGTCCAAAAGGGATGCCGCGGTGGGAGCCTGGGGGACTCTCCTCCCTTCTCCAGTCCTCCTAGGGGGGAAGGGGCCAGCAGGACAAAACCCAGAGTCGGTCACAACCGCCCCGAAACGTGAGAGACAAAAGGAAAACAAACAGGTTTGGAGCCAGGCGCACGGTGCGTGTCTGTCCCCTGCCCTGCCGTGCAGGGATGATGGATGGCTGCAGCCAGCCGGCTTGCTCGCCAGGGCTGGCCCCGCTATTTACATAACACTGGCGTTCCACCGGTCACCTCTGACACGGCACTGCCTGGGGCCCGAGGCCCCGTGGCCCCTTGGTTCCTCAGTTTCTCCAGCCACTAGGGGACTGTGACAGTCTATGAAAGCACGGCCAGGCCAGGGCAGCCTTGTGTGCCCAGCCTCCAGGGGAGCCCTGGATCTGGAGAAAGGCTGGACAGTAGGCCTCAGCCTCCCTGCTGCAAGCCTGGCAAGGAGGAGGCCACTCAGTGGCCATGGTGGCAACACAGCCACCACGTGGAGAAGGCAGTGAAGGGCTGCTAGGGTTTCCAGCCCACATGGTTCTCCAGGCAGGGCTAGACACAGAGGTTCTGGGGAGCCAGAGCCCGGGATCTCCTGTGCCCCGGAGCTGCATGCTGCCCAGAGCACACCCTTTGACTCAAGTCTGTGACCCACACCCCTGCAGCCATTTCCAGCCTGAGAGCCAGGCAGAAGCTCCCGGTGGGCTCCATTGTTCCCCCGCCAGGGCCCCGTGGGCAGCATGGTGCCCATGCCCTGTCTTCACCTTCCCACCAGTTCAGCCCAGGGTGACAGTGTGTCAGGTGAGGGGTCACCAATACCAGACAAGACAGCAGTCAGAGAAGAGATTTAAGCCTTACCTTGTGGCAGGTCCTACAGGTGCCTCAAACGTAGCGGGGAGGTCACTTCATCCTGGGGAGGGACAGAGAGGAGCTGTTAGCCTTTCCAGGAGGGAACCTGCACCCCTTCCACTCCAGCACGTGCTTTCCTGCCCGTGTGCCCAGCGCCTTCCTGGTGTCCTGTAGGCTGAGGACACAAATGCTCCAGGCAGAGGGGTTGGTGACCCGGACGTGCTGAGCAGGCTCTGATTCTGCCCATGGGAGTATACACCAAGCAAAGTTCGAAAATTCGAAAAGCAGCAGCGGCTGAAGCTGGGGAGCCGCGGCTCTCAGGACACTAACCAAGCAGAGGAAGGTGGCACCAAGCGTTGCACACCCCTCCGTGGAGGCAGACACGGGATGTGGGTTTGGGGGCACTGGTTATAAGGCCTCTAGGCTTCCACAGAGCTGCGGTAGCTGATGCACTCGGGATGCCTGGCCACAGCCTCAACCACCACATTAGTCTTTTTCTTTGATCCCTAAAATAAAAAATGACAGATGCCAGCCGGATATAGTGGCTCATGCCTGTGTCCCAGAACTCTGGGAGGCTGAGGCAGGAGGATCACAAGTTTCAACCGCGCTTGGACAACTTAGTGACTTAGTGAGATCCTGTCTCTAAATAAATCGTTAAGGGGGCAGGGTGGGGGTTGCTGGAGACGTAGCTCACTGTGAAAGCCCCAAGTTTAATCCCTAATATGAGCAGGGGTAGGACAGATGCCAAGGTGTTTGTTGGAGCAAGTAGATGACTGAGAGGTAAGAAGAACCAAAGCTGGGCACCAAGGAGCCTCAGATCCTCAGGAGCAGGCTGTGACAGCACCTTCCATGCCGTGGTGAGACACGGCAGTCCCTGCTGGGAGCCCTCGTGAGGATGGGAAATGGCCTGACCATACAGCTCGTCTTCAGCCAACACACAGCGCAGCCCAGCTGGACGTCCAGAGCAGGAGTTTGGGGAATCAGGCTGACACGGGACAGACTCCGTGCATGGAGGGAAATCCTCGGAGCCCTCTGCCTGCCCACCTGGCCCCACCGGCCTTGCCTGGCCGGGCTGCGTCCTGACCTCAGCATTCACCCCAACTGGGTGGCTTGTTGTTTGTTACCTTTTCTTCTTCTCGCCCCCTCATTTGTGGCTCATCAATGATGCAAGAGGAATAACTAGAATTTCCTTAGGCCTCGTAATCCCCAAATCAGATTGGGGGATTGTGGGAGATGAGGTGACCTTGTACGAGGCTCCCAGAATGCCACCCTGTCCCATCGCTGGCTCTTCTGTTCCCAGGACATATTTAGACAGATAATGCTAATTGCACTTGACACGCCCTCTTAAGGAGGGCTGGGTTCTCTGCCAGCATTTGTCGCCTGAACGGGGCTGTGAGGGCAGAGAGTGTCCCCTGGGGTGGAGCCCAACCTGCAGGATTCAAACTGGGAGGGCTGAGGGTCGGGTAGGCATCAGGTGGTCGGAGAGGGCTGCACTGTGGGCCTCTGTGAGACTCAGAAAGCGAAGCGGGGGTCGGCAGAGAGCTGCGTGGACACTGAGATGCTGTGGGGCAACAGAGAGAAAGGGGGGCGCTGCGCAGAGGCGGCAGAAGTGGGCAGAGGCCTGGAGAGGAGCAGGGCTGGAACTGCAGGGGCCATGCGAGCTGGGAAAGCAGCCCGACCGTGGGCTCGGTGTCCAGGCCACGCTCCGAGACTCCCGGCCTCTGACAGAGCTCACGTCCCGCCCAGTCGGCCCTGGGCCTCACCCGGGGTGTCATCGCCATCCCGTCCATCCTGAGCTCGCCTGCCTGAGATCCCTCAAGGCGCCCCGGCCAGCCTCTCTTGAACCCCCAAAGCCCCCCAACTCCACAAGTCCAGTATCTCTCTTCTACCACCTTTTTCTCCCCTCCCCTCCTCCCCGGCAACTGTGCATTTATTAATTCATGAGGCACTAATTAGTTCTTTGTTTAATTTTGTGTTAAACAGACTGACCGGAATGATAACGACTTGCAGTGCGGTGTTGCCGTCCCCAACCACCCCTGTTTTCTGACAACAAGGGAGCGCGGGAGACCGGAGCGCTGAACCCAAATCCCTCAGCAGTTGCACTTCATTAAGTCAAAATGTGACAAGAAGCTTAGAGAGCAACTTGCAGATCTGATCACACAGAACAATCGGGAGGAAACTTTCCAGGAGTTGGTCGGGGCTGGTGGAGGGCGGAGGAGGAGGGGCAGGGATGTCTATGCACCAGCCAGGACACATGCGGGAGTCCCATCCCTCCTCTGCCTACCCTGGGCAGGTGGCCTGGCTGACAGCAGCGGAGAGGCCGTCTCTCGGTGGACACAGGGACACCGGGCCCCCAGGGGAAGCCCAACAAGTACCCAGGCCTTAGCAGCTGGACTCTCTCCGAACACAGGACCTCGTATCCGCTAGGCAAGGGCTCCAGCGCTGAGTTACACCCCTAGCTCATTGCTGGCCTGGATATCTTTTCTTCGCTTTTTTATTTTTGAGACAGATTCTCTCGAAATTGCTAAGTTGCCCAGCCAGGGTTCCAGTTTTTGATCCTACTGCCTCAGTCTCCCAGAGTGCTGGAAAGACAAGCGTGCCCTCAATGTCCCCAGCTGCCTGGGCGTGCCCTACTCTGTCTGCCCTTCACTGGGCCTGATGCCTGGTGCTGGCCCTTGTGGGCGAGTGGTTAGCACACTAGGGGGCTGGTAGAACGCGGTGCAGGGAAGGAAGGGTTCTAAGAGACGGGGTGAGAAGCTAGCAGCTGGAAAGCCCAGAGAGTGGGCTCCACCCTCAGGCAGGCTGAGATTCAGTGAAACCCTTCCGGCCAGGAATATGCTCAGAGGTCATGGCAGAAAGCACCCACGAGATGCCAGGGTACCCACTGTCCGCCAGCTGTCCACCCTTTCTTTTTCCATCTGTCCATCCACTCCTCCATCCCTCCGCCCTTTGCTCTGTGTGCTTGATCCTAGCTACACAGTCACACAAGTGAGGACGGAGAGGTTGAAGGCTCTGTGCAGAAGTCTGGCAAATCAGACCCAGATCCAGGTCCTGCAGCCTGTGAGCTGGGGCGGCTGGCTCTCGGCAGATGGCAGGGCTCGCGGTGACAACACCCCAAGGCCTCTTATCTGTCTGAAAGACCAGGATCTTGGCCTCAGAGGTGTCCAGCTGCTGACCCCATTGGTTGTGGCACAGACAAGGAAGGCTGGTATGGAAAGCAAGCCCTGCCCCGGGCTGAAGCCCACAGCTCTGGCCCCTGCTGCTGACCCTGAGTGGAGAGAGGATGGAAGGGAGCGGAAGGGAGCACACGGACAGCTGAGGACCGAGCCCCCTGAGTGGGACGTGCCTCTTGTCGCCTTCCTGTTGGCTGCTGCACCTCTGCAGGGGAGTCCTGACCTCCGGGAAGCTGACCCAGCCCCACGGCCAGGTCGGAAGCACAGTGGTCTCCCTCCCGAGCCGGCAGCCCTGGGCTGCCTTCCCTTAATTTGCTGTCAGGCTGCCTAAGCAAACCAATTAAAACTAATCATTAATTATAAAGGAGAGCAAGAAGAGGAAGAGAGAGGAAGAGAGAGGAAGGAGAGAATGACAGGGACGGCAAGGAGGAAGAAGGAAATGGGCCAGAGAGAGGGGACCCTGAGGGCCCCGCAGGTGGCCCAGTGAGGACCTTGGGCCTGGGCGCTGGGAGGGATCAGAGCTGCTGCAGTCGTCAGGGCTGGGAAGGAAGCCAGGGCGGTGGAGTGGGCTGCCGGGGCGAGGGCCAGGCCAGTGAACACGGATGACCAGCACACCAGGACTCAAAGGAGCCTCATCCATCCGCTGTCCCTCTGGCTGGAGCCATGGCTGTCCAGGACCCGCCTTGGAGCCTGTCCCCCAGTGGCTGCCCAGCTCCACATTGCTCCCCAACCCTCTGGGCCATGGGCGGCCAGAACAGCTGCTGGGCTGCCCGGCGACACCCCCATTGCTGTCTCCATTCTCCTGCCCCCAGCCCACCGCCCCATCCTCTGCCCGGCTGGCCGGCCCTTTCACAGGGGCTGGGGCCATGTCAGCCCGGCAGCTTGAGGAGGGGGGCGGCACGGACAACAAGGGGCGGCGTCATGGAAACGGGCACTTTCCCGGAGAAATATTCTGTTTGGCCTCCCTCCTGCATTGAGGAGCTGTCAGGAGCCTGAGTGAGAGCCACACTAGCCCAGGACCAGGCGTGACAAAACCTATTTTCTGCCTCAAATTTGATTGATTAAAAAACTTTTTAGGAAAACCATGTTAAAAGAGTGAAAAAAAAGTGAGAGAGAGAGAGAGAGAGAGAGAGAGAGAGAGAAATAGAGGGAAAGAAAGAGAAGAGACATACTGCAGGGAGTGGAGTTGGGGGAAGAGAGGCTGTGGGGAAGGGGCCTAAAAGTCCCCTCGCTGCAGCGTGGCCTGGGACGCATGTCAGCGAGGCCTCCGCAGCATCTCCAGGCCAAACGCAGAGGTCAGAGGAAGCCCGGAACTTTTACACAGTGCTTAGCAGGACAATGAGGGGCCGCGGGCTCTGCGCGGTCCAGCAGGTGCCGGATCTGGACGGAGGCGGCAGCCAGAGCGGGCAGCCTGTCCCCGCACAGGGACATGGACCTCGAGGCAGGGAGGGGCGGGTGGCAGCAGCTGTCCAGCAAAAGGAGCAGACAGCAGGCCGCTGGACTGGCTCGGTGGTTTTCCCAAATGGAGTCTTGCTGAGGATTTGGCCAGAATCCTGAAAAATCTCTACAGGGTCAGGAGGGAAGACCTTGTAGTTCAGGGGCAGGAAACGGGTTTCCCAACTTGTTCTTTCAAGCCCTGACTCAAGAAATGTTTTAAGGAATAGGCATGAAATAAAAAGGGTGGCACCCAGCCTGGCTCTTGGTCCTGCAGCTGGTGTGGCCTGCTGGTCTCACTCTGTCTTTGACCCTGGAGACCCTTGCCGAATGCTGTGGCTTAGAGGGATTCCCATGTCTGCCTTTGTCTTTGTCTTTCTTTTTTCTTCCTTTTTTTTAGGCAGGGTCTATGTAGTTCAGGTTGGCCTTAGATTCACTATGAAGCCCAGGCTGG